ACCCACCTACCCACCTACCCACACACGCACACCCACAGGCACCTGTGAACAGCCATTTTTTCAGCATGAAGGTGGATGACTCCATGCGCTGCGCGCGCCCATCCTCGTGCGTGACGCGGAAGGGCGCGCCGTGCAGCATCAGGCTGGCGCCCAGCGAGTCCTTGAGGCCCGCAGCCAGCTCGGCGTGGCGGTCGGCGGCGCCGCCGCCGCGAGCGCCCGGCGGGGAGGCTGCGCGGGGCGGGCAGCGGGGGGGGCGGCGGCGAGCCAGCAGCAAAGCAGGGTCGAGTGGCGTCGCTGGCTGCAGCGCATGCCGCAACTCTCGGCAGCTTGCAAGGCAGCAGACGGATCTGCGCTGTGACGGCCACGGGCACAGCCTCATGCTGCCGCTCACGCCCACGCTCCCGCTCAGCACCACCCCGGGCACTCACAGCTGATCACACACACGCGCTTGGCCTCATCCAGCACGCAGGCGGCGCCGCTGTTGCCAATGGAGGCGCGGAGGTCGAGCAGCCAGCGGTGCATGCGCAGCATGCCGGTGCCCGCGTGGCGCGCCCGCAGGTCCAGCTTCAGCAGGCTGCCGCTCATCACCGCCCTGAGGGGCGGCAGCCAGCCCGCGCTGCGGCGGGGTGGAGCGGGCGAGGCGACGCGGGGTTTACACACAACCCACTCGCATAAGGCATGCCCCACACTGGGGAGTGCACGGCAACGGTGGCTGCCGTACGCCAGGCGCCACCAAGGACGCTGCGCCAGCGGCAGCCGCAAGCCAGACAACAGCCAAAGGCCCCTCTGCCCTGCCCCAGCCCTCCACACACCACACCTGGTGGCCTGCTGGAACAGCTCCAGCGCCCTGGCCTGAGCCCAGGCCAGGCCTGTGCACCACAGCGCGTCCACCGCCAGGCTGGCGAGCTGCTCGCTGGGCACGACCCTGCGGCAGCATGCGCGCCAGCCAGCGAAGTGGGCAGGCAGGCAGGCGGGTGGGTGGATGGGCCCAGCGCTTCCTCCAAGGGCGCAGCAGCCGCACACACATGATGTGCCCGGATGCTTGCCAGTAGGGCCAGCAGGGCCAGCAGCGCTGGAGCATGCACCCCGATGGGTCCCTCACTACACCACAGGTAGCCACCCGCAGCAGCCGCACGGCCTGCTCACCCCGCCGCCAGCATCGACTCGTAGGTCAGGGCCGCCTGGGCCCACTGGCCCCCCCGGCACAGCGCCTCCACCAGGTGGAGGTAGCTGTCGGCCGAGGGCTGCAGCCCGTGCCGAGCCAGCTTGTCAAACGCCTGGCGGGCCTGCGGGGGAGCAGGGAGGCGCGAGCGAGGACGGCCCGTTGCTGCCGGGAGGGCGCCGGGGGGCGGGCGGCAGGCGGGACAAGACACAAGGCGTGCATGGGAGGCAGGGAGGCAGGGACACAAGCGCCGCCGCTGAGGCGCAGCCCGCTGAGGACCCCCTGCCCCGCGTGCCGCAGCGCCGCCCGCCTACCTCCTGCGCCGCGCCGCCGGCTGCGCATGCCGCCAGCACTCCGTTCACCATCTCCAGGCTGGGGGCAGCCCCAGCCTCCTCCACCCGTGCCAGCAGCTGCTGGCTGACATCGTACCAGCCGTGGGAGCGGCACGCCTCTTGCAGAGCCTGGGGCAAGGTGGCAGGCAGGGCAGCAGGGCGGCAGGTGTGTCTAATCCCTCTCCATGGGCCTCCCAGGCAAGATGCGCCACAGCGTGTGCATAGACGCAGCGATTGAGTGCTGTGCCTGGCTGCGGCCCCACTCCACCCAGCTAGGGACCTGCCCACCTGCATGGCACGGCCGGGCTTGGCCCCCGCCGCCGCCTCTGCCTTCCCAAGCAGCCCGACCGCCAGCTCCGCCACCTCGGGCGCCGGGTGCTGCTGCCGCACGGCGGCCAGCAGGGCGGCAAAGGTGGGGGCGGAGGGCGCCACGCCGGCGGCGCACATGTGGCCGAACGCAGACTCCGCGGCGGCCGTGTTGCCGGCGGCGCAGGCGCGCTCAATCACGGCGTCAAAGACCTGCGGCGCAAACCGAGGCAGATGCAGAGCGGCCATGAGCGACGGTGCCAGGTGGCGGCCAGGTGGCGGCCAGGAGGAGCCTGCAATGCCCAGCCAGGCCTGCAGCCGCAACCACCGAGCCTCAGCGAGCGGCGCAGGCGAGCGGCCGGCCTCGCCTGTGCGCCGCCGGCCCCGCCATGCTGCGCCCAGCCCGCCAGCGCCGCATCCGCCTCCTCCCAGCTGCTGCGCTGCATGTGGAGATCCAGCACCGCCAGCAGCGCAGCAGGTGTGGGGGGCAGCCCTTGGGCCAGCATGTTGCGGTACGCATCCAGCGCCACATCGTACTGCCCGCTCCTGCGCAGCAGGGAAGCGCCGGGGAAGGTCGGCTGCAGCTAGGGGCGCGACGCAGCTAGCCGGCGCGGCCCCGCCATGCCGGCCCACAGTCGTGCAGCAGGGCTGGGCAAGGCAGGCGTGCAGGCTGGCATGACGTGGGGCGAACAGAGCCCCCCGCTGCCCAGCCTCCCTGCCGCCCGCGTGCGCTTGCCTGCAAAAGGCTTCCACGAGCGCCGAGTGCACCTCGGGAGAGTCCTCGCCGCGATCCTTCAGCTCGGCAAACAGCCGCACCGCCTGCAAAGAGGGGCAGCAGGCAGGCAGGCAGGCAGGCAGGCAGGGAGGCAGCCAGGGTGAGCTGCCACGCCGAGCACACATGCTGCCACCCACACATGCAGGCCGGTGAAAACAGCCTCGCGGGGGGGCCAGCAGGCGGCGGGAGGGAGGTGCGGCGGGGGCAACAAGGCGGCGGAGCCTCACCGGCTTGGGCTTGCGCCAGCGGCCGTACAGGACAATCATTGTGGTGTAGGCGGCGGGGGAGCAGAGGTGCGCCTGGGGGCTGTCTGGCGCCAGGCCACGCAGCCACTCAAACAGCTGGAGCGCCCTGCGCAGGGAGGGGAGCGGGCACGGCAGCGGGGGGGAGGTGGGCAGCGGGCCGCCAGGCAGGGCCTTGCTGGCGAGCCATTGCTGTGCCAGCGCTGCAGGCGGGCCACCAGCCGCAGAGCAACAGCATGCCGCAGCAATCCGCGTGCCTGGAGGCGGTGGTGGGGCTGTCCAGCTGGCTCAGCAGCTCCGCAGCCTGCGCCGCATCCCAGCCCTCCAGCCAGGCGGGCGCCACATCAGCCACCGCCTGCTCGGCGGGCAGCAGCGCCAGCTTGCGGCGCACCTCCTCCACTGCAGAGGCGTGCAGGAGCCATACAGAAGACGCGCGTCAGCTGCATGGCTTGGCAGCGCAGGGCGCTGGATCGCCGCATCCCCTCTTGCCCAGCCAGCCGGCAGCAGCTGCGCGAAAGGCAGAGGCGGCCTCACCGCAACGCGGACAGCCCCCGGCCGTCGCACCTGACAGCGGCCCCTGCGGCTCCTGCGGCTGCGACAGCGAGACGCCGATGACCGAGCCAAAGTACGAGCGCAGGTCACCGATGTCGTCTGCAGGCAAGCAGGCAGGCAGGCAGGTGGGCGGGTAGAGGCGGAACGGGCAGGCAGGCAGGCAGGCAGCTGTTGTGGGACGCTGCCGGGGAGCGGGCAGGGGCAGAGGGCAGGAGTAACACATGAAGGCAGGGGCTGGGACCCAGCGGGCAGCAGGCCACCCACCGTCGGAGCTGTCGTCTCCCAGCCCCGCCAGCGCTGCAGGCGCGCCCGCAGCCCCGCCGCTTGGGCCGCCAGGCAGCGCGGCAGCCACGGACTTTGGGCTGGCCAGGCGCGGCGCCGCGCACTGCTTGGCGTGCGCCAGGCTGGGCAGCTGCGGCGGCGCTGGCGGCGGCGGCGTGGCGGAGGAGTAGGCGCTCGTGAACGGCGGCAGGGCCGGCGAGCCGACGGTGCTGCTGCCGTAGCTGCCGCGGCCGGCCGGCGTGCCTCGCGCCAGGCTGGGCGATCCCGGGCTGCAGACGGCGGGCACTCCACCCGGCGAGAAGCTGGGGGCGGTGGGCGCCAGGCTGGACCCACACGGCGCCGCGGTCCCGGCCACGCCAGACTGGGCGGCTGGAGAGGCGGAGCTCGCGGCGCTGCCGGTCCGGGCCGGCGCGGCGGCGGCGGCCGTGGCGGTGAAGGGGCGCGCGGCGATGTTGAGCGCGCTGCCGGCGCTGCCCAGGCGGCCGCTGCCAAAGGCGGCGCCGATGCTGCCGCCCCGCGGGCTGTCGCTGCTGTACAGGTTGTCTGGCAGGCGGCTGTATGCGCTGCCTGATGCGGCGGCGCCGGCTGACCGCGCGCTGGCTGCCGCCGCCAGGGAGCCCGATGCCAGGGAGGACGGCGGCTGGCCCAGCCCGGCGCTGGTCAGAGGCAGCGGCAGCGGCAGGGGCAGGGGGGTGGCCGCCAAGCCGCCGCCGCTGCTGGCGCTGGCGGGGCGCAGGGCGTCCGCCGGCGTGAAGCTGCTGGCAGCGCCGCCCATCACCGGGCCCAGCCCAGCCAGCAGTGGCGTGGTGGGGGAGGCTCCCGGGGTGCTGCTGGGGTGCAGCAGCGTGCTGCACGCGACACCCTCGGAAGCATACTGAAACACCTCTGCAGGAAGAAAGCAGGGGGTGCGGCGTGCGAAGCAGGGTCAGCAGCGGCGCGTGGCGGGCGCTGCTTGCAGCCAGTCAAGCAGGCAGCCACGGCCGGGTGACGACGGATGGCGTGCTGCTGGCCAGGCCCGCCCTCCCAACCATCCTCGCACACTATTCGCAAATACACAAATGCGCGCACCACCCCACACCGCCGCCGCAACCCCCGCCCACCTTCGGGCGTGAGGTGCGCCAGGTTGGCGGGCGGGCTGGGCGGCGCGTCCCGGTCCTGCGGGTCCAGGCTGTAGCAGTCCCACACGCTGCGGCACTGCAGCAGCTGGTACAGGTACCGCTTCTTCTCGTCCATGCTGCGCAGCAGGCCCCAGCGGAAGTAGGGCACAGACACGACCTGGGGAGGGAGGACAGTGCGGCGGCGGGTGGGGTTAGGGGTGGTGGGGTGGGGTGTGTGCACGTGTGCAGGGCAGGCGGTAGGATGGGGTGCGAGGCAACCACGAGGCGAACGCAGCAAGCCCCGGAGCGCGGGTGCAGCCGCAGCGAAGCCCCGCGGCAGGCTGGCGGCAGCGGGCCCGGCGCAGGCGGGCGCGCGGGCTGAGCTGGCGGCGGCGCTGCCCCCGCACCCGCCACCCCCGGCTGGCCAGCAGGCGCCAGCGCCACAGCGTGCGGCCCAGCGGCACAAAGGGCTCGTTCTGCGTGAAGTGGGCGCTGCCGTCCACCTCCACCGCCACCCGCTCGCTCCTCAGGGCGATGTCCACTGCGGCGGCGGGGCAGGGGGGCAGGCGGGGAGCCGAGGGCGCAGGCGGGAGTCGATATGCGGGAGTCGAGATGCCGGCACGGCAGCTGGACCATCTCATTTACGGCCCAACCACCCCACCCGACACCAAACTGCCCCACCCCCACACTCAGCCCCACACTCGGAGCCCACCCGAGACGAGCCCGTCCTCGATGCGGCGCTCGATGTCGTGCTCGATGCCCAGTTCCGCCATAGCCGCCGCCACGTCGCGGTGCGTGGCCGACACCTTGAGCACCGCCGCCTGCTGCCGCCACTCGGTCTCGCCGCGGGCCAGCAGCTCGGGGGGGATGTGGGCGGCGATGTCGTGTACCGCCTGGCTGAGGCTCATCTTGGCTTGGTACAGCTGGATGTAAGCCTCCTGGGTGAAGGCCTCCCGCGGCAGCGACAGCATCTTGTGCCCCAGCACAGACATGACCTCGGGGGTCAGGATGCCCAGCACAGTGAAGGCCCACAGCAGGTTGCCGCAGTCCTGCGTGTGTGCAGGGAGGGAGGTGCGGGCGGGTGTGGGAATGTGGGCGAGGGATGGTGGGCGGGGGGCCGCCGGGGCAGCGCAGCAGACAACAGTGAAAGCCAGCCAACGCGCTCTGCCAGCCGTTGCCTGCTGCCACGCCTGCCCCTACCCACACACCCACACACACGCACACACGCCAGCGCACCTGCACGGCCGGGTTGCGCCACTCGGCCGCCAGCGGCAGGCAGGCGCGCACGAGGCTGGCTGCGGGCATGTACGCCAGCCGCGCCACCGCCCACGTCAGCATGCCCAGCTCCTGGCTCTTGAACCGATCCAGCTGCGCCTCTGCAGGGGCGCACGCAGGCGAGGGCAAAGGAGCAGAGGCGCGTGAGCGCAGCAGCCCCACACCCACGCGCCCCGCGGGTGCCAGGATGTCGGGCATGTGCCCAGCCCATCCCTCCCGCCGGGGCGAGAAATTGCGAGCACGCTTCATGCGCTTAACGCTCCCGTCATGCGCTTCATGCTGCCACCACGGCACCCACCCGCATGTGCCAGCATGAGGTCCAGGACCTCGGCCCCTGGGAAGAAGCGCATGGTGGCCCAGGCCCAGCAGCAGTTGGCAATCTCCTGCGGCTTCATGCGGTCGGCCACGCCGCATGCCGCCTGCATGCGCATGCGCACGCGGCAGGGAGGGCGCGTGCCGGGTCTGTGCGGCGGCGCGGTGCGGCGGGGATGCCGGGGATGCAAGCCCCTGGCGGGTCTGGGAATCCACGCTGCACAGACCCCGGGTGGTGGGTGGGTGGGGGGGGCAGCTGCCTGGGGAGACGAGGGGGCACACCCACCTGCGTGATGCTTTCCACCGCGCCGGGCCCGTGCCAGAACTCCATGCTGGCCATCGACCACAGCAGGTTGCTCAGCTCCTGCAGAAGGGGTGGGGTGGGGGAGCAGAAGGGGTGGGGTGGGGGAGGGATAGGTGCAGGGCAGCGTGGTGGGAGGCGGATCGGCTGGCCAATGGAAAGGGACTGAGCACAAGCAAGCCCATGCCTCCCCGCCAGCCCATGCCTCGGGGTAGAAGAAGCTGCCGCCGCGCGCTGCACACCACATGGTATTCCCATCGTCCCCCCACCTGCGGCTTGAACTGCGGCAGCAGCGGCATCGCCTCCTTCATCAGCAGCGCCATCAGCAGCTGCGGCTTGCGCCCCAGGTGCGCGTACGCCAGCGCCAGGTTGCTGATGGTCTGCGGCAGGCAGGCGCAGGCATGCAACGGTGGGCGGTGGATGAGCAAGAAGGTGGTGGGGGTGGTGGATGCATGTCCGAAATAAAAGGGACGGAGAGACGCAGCAGAGCGGCAGGCAAGGGCACCCGAGCCAGGCCATGCAGCGAGGACGGGCGCAGCCAGCCGCTCGCCAGCGCGCTGCATCCTCGCGCACCTGCGGCCGCACGCGCGAGCGCCAGGCGCGGTCCCCAAACAGCAGGCTGAGCTCATCCGGGATGCGGGTCAGCAGGGCCTGCACCAATTGGGAAGGAAGACGAATAGGAAGAAGGGCAGGCTGGGAAACAGCATGAACAGCAGAGTGGGCGTGCTCCAGCCCGCCCAGCCTCTTCTGAGCAGCCGCACGTCTGCAGCCAGCGCCCCGCGAGCGCGGGCAGCCACCCGCGTCCCCTGCCCCTCCCCTCCCCCTCGCCGCGCTCACGTCGACATCCGGTGTGAATGGCACCCCGCAGCGGTGCATCTGGCTCAGGCTCCACACAAGGTTGGTGAGCTCCTGGGCCCCAAAGCTGCGCAGCATGCCATCCGCCGCCCGCACCAGCGCGCTCAGCAGCTCCGGCTGCACACAGGGAGGGTCCGGGAGCGGGGGCGTACAGGAGGGCGAGGTCAGCAGGGTCGGCGGCTGTTGAGGTGGAGCGCCCGGGCGGCTCCAGGGGAAGCAGGGCTGGTTGCCTGGCCGCACGAGGCGACCACGGCGGGGCAGGGGGCCGCACCGAGGGCACGATGCCGATGTTGACGATTCCATGCAGCGTGTTGGACACATTCTGCGGGGCAAAGCTGCCTGCAGGCGCGGCACACGCGGGTGCAGCGGGTGAGCAGCCGGACCGGCCGCCTCCCCTTGAGCACACTCCACGCCAGGGGGCGACAGCCCGCGGCGGCGCGGCCCCCCAGCAGCCCGCGGCCCTCACCCTTGTGCCTGCTGTGCGTCAGCTGCGCCTGCACCTCGCGGCACAGCGCATCCACCATCTGCCGCACCTCGTGCGACACCTTCACCCCCAGCTTGCCCATCCCCCACAAGATGTTGGCCAGCCCCTGGCGGCAGCGGCAAGGGGGAGGGGGGGCACACGGGCGACGCGCGGCTCGGCAGCAGGCACAGGCAGCACCGCCAGCCGCCCGCCCCAGCCCGGCCTCCCAGCTCGCTCCACCCTCCCTGCCCTCCTCTCTTTGCAATCTCCAAGCTCGCCACACTAGCACACATGGCACCACCCCCAACGCGCACACACGCGCGCGCCGCCGCCCACCTGCGGCTTGAACTCCCCAGCCTGCCACACCACCGCCCTGGCCACGCCGTGCAGCAGGTCGTAGTCTGGCTTGAGGCCCATGGAGGCGGCGCTGTACACGATGTTGGAGAGGGACTGGGGGCCAAAGTTGTAGTGCTTGTCTGCGCGGGAGGGCAAGGGGCGGGGGCAGGGGCAGGGGCAGGCAAGCAAGGGAGATGGACGGATGGGAGCGGGATGGCAGAAGCGGGCAGGCGTGTGAACTTGGGGGATGGGCGTGGGGTCAGGGAGGGCGGGGCAGGTCCGGGCGGCGGCGAGGGTGCAGCGGAAGTGCAGGGGGCGCACCCGTCATGTAGGTGGATTTGCTGACGGTGGCCAGTCGCCGCGTGATCTCAGCCTGCAGCGCGGCCCACAGCTCCTCGCAGTGCTGCTGCGGCAGGCGGTGCGTCTTGCTGGTGCTCCACAGCGTCAGCCCAAGGTTGTGCGCCTGCACCTCCTCCAGCCGGTCGATGAGCGCCTGGTTGAGCTCGGTGAGCAGGCCGCCCAGCTGCTGCTGCTGGTGCGGCGGCCACGCGTCGGGCGGCGTGCGCTGGTCCTGCACGTGCCGCGCGATGCGGTGGTAGGCGGTGCAGTAGTTGACCGCGTTCATCCGCGAAAAATTGACCACCACCATATGGATCAGCTCCTGCGGCAAAGCGACGGGAAGGTCGATCGCGGTGAGCGCCTGCGAGCGACCGCTGCGGCAGGCGGCGGCGGCGGGCGGCGGTGGAAGCAGCGCTGCCCCAGCGCCCACACCTGCAGGTTGGCCGCCTGCGTGATCTGGTTGTTGAGCTGCCGGGACAGGGCCACGCGCTGGCCGCCGCCCCGCCCCGGTTCGCTGGACCGGGAGGAGGTGGAGCGGGCATAGCCGCCGTTCATTCTGCAGCAGCAGGCGATGCGAATTAGTCATGCGGGGGGCTGGGCGTGCGAGCTGCGATCGTTTCAGCTGATCAAGTCCCCAGCGTGCCCTTGGCGGGGCGGGCAGCCGTTACCCGCACCTGGACGCTGCCTGTCAGCCTCAGCGTGCTGCAGCCCCCGCATGGGCTGCTCTGGGCTGGTCCGCCCTCGCTGAGCCGCCTGTACACGCTGCAGCTGCACAGCTAGTAGTAGCAAGATTCCTAAATGGCGATAACAAGTCTACTGGAAGCAAAAGGCGTGAGGAGGTGAACAGGCGGGGTCCTCTCGCTGCGCGCGCGCCCTTCCCCCAAGCTTCTGCAAGAGCTCCGAAATGGGCTGGGAGCAGCTCATAACATTCAGCAGGAATGCTAAATGTGTTCTGTGCAACGTGCAGTGGATGACGCTTCACGCACCCAAAAGGTGTCGCCGCCCGCCTGGCGGAGGACCGGCCCGAGGCATGCTGCCTTGGGCCGTCCTGCGTCTGCACAAAGGCCTGGCAGGGTTCGTATTTCAGTCGAAGACATACGAAACTGCAGGTGGAGAGTCAGATAGTGTGTTATGCAGCCTTGTTGTGCCTGCAGCTGACTGGCGCCTTGCGGTTCGAACGCTCGTTGCAGAGCCAAGTGGCAAGTCGTGCTTGTGTGGGCTTCCACTCTGACACATCAAAGTGGTGATTTACAAAGTACACAACGCAAACAAAGTGCAGGGTCGCAGAATGAAGACAGACATAGTATTCGCCGCCGCTGGTGAATTGCGGGATGTGGTCACACATGGGGGGGGGGGGGGGGGGGGCATCGGCGCCAGTGGCGTTCTGGGGAGGGGTCAGGGCATGCAAAGATATCATTCTAAGTAAGCTTGTGTTCGCGGGGAGAAGGTGATCGGTGATGGGCACTAGCGCGACTTGGTTGGATGTATTGTGGGTGTCCATGCGGCGGGGTCAAGCCAGCGCGGTGCTGTGGCTGGGGAGGCGCTGCGCTTCCCAGCATGCCCTGGACGCAGCGCTGCGAGCCGCATGGAGCTGCAGCTGTTTGTTGCACAGCCCCGTTGCGGGGCCGCCTGGCTGGGGCTGGGCGCCTAGACCACCTTGGGCGCCGGCATGCCCTCAGCGGGGTAGCCTGGGGCCGAGGGGGACGGCGTGGACGGCGCGGGCACGCCCATCGGCATGCTGCCCTGAGCCATCATGGGCATGGTGCTGATGGGCATCTGCATCATGCCAGGCTGCATCATGCCGGGCTGCATCATTCCGGGCTGCATCATGCCAGGCTGCATGCCCTGCTGCATCATGCCAGGCTGCATGCCCTGCTGCATCATGCCAGGCTGCATGCCAGGCTGCATGCCAGGCTGCATGTAGTAGGGGCTGGGTCCGGAGCCCGCGCTGGCCGCCATCTGGCTCTGCTGCTGCTGCGCGGCGGCCGCCGCCATCATCTGCTGCTGCTGCGCCGCCAGCATCTGCTGCTGCTGCTGCATCAGCTGCGCCATCATCTGCTGCTGCGCCATCAGGGCGGCGTAGTCGCCGCTGCTCATGGATCCCGGGGAGCTGAGGCTGGCCGCCATGCCGCCAGACCCGCCCGAGCCGGCGGGCATCATCATGAAGGCGCCGTTGCCGGTGGGCACCATCATCACCGGCTGCTGCATCATGGCCATGGGCGCCGCCGCCGGCGCGGCCGCCGGGGTGCTGCCGACGCCGGCGGCCGTGACGTTGCCCTCGCCCGTCTGGGCGTTGACCATGGAGGGGGTGTTGGCATTGTTCATGTTGGGGGAGACGGTGGTGGTCGGCCCCGCGATGTTGGTGGTCGGCCCAGCCACATTGATGTTGGGGGACACGGTGTTGACGTTGTTGCTGCTCACGCTGTTGCTCAGCGAAACGTTCACGTTCTGACTGGGCCGCGAAGCCTCCTGCAGCCAGGCAGCAGGGCAGGCGCCAGCAGTGAGACGCAACGAATGCAGGCAAGAGCTGTCACCGCTGTGTTTGGGCAGCCAGGGAGCACAGCGTGGCACGGCAGGGCGCAGCCCTCTGCCGTGCCCCTCACCGCCAGGCGCAGGGCCACCGTCTCCTTGCTCTCGATCTTAATTAACCCCATCTTTTCTGCACAGCAGGCAGGCCAGGCAAGCGGGCACGAGGCTCAGGGCAGCGCCCGGGGCAGGCAGGGGAGCAGCGCACAGCCCCCAGCGGAACAGCCGGCTCGCCCAGCGGCAGCTCTCACTCAGTGCGGCCTCTATGCTGCCCGTATCCTTGCACATTTTCAGCCACTCGTTCCACTCGTACGGCGCCAGCATCTTGGGCGCCTCCGGCTCCCGCATCACAAACGGGTCGCCGCAGCACGCCGCGTTGGCCCTGCACAGCGGCAGGCAGGCAGGCAAGCCACAGCAGCATGCGGCTCACAAAGAGGAGCAGGAGGGGGCAGCAGTCGTAAGCAGAAGCAAAGCGCAGTGCTGTGCACTGGCAGCACCCCCTGCCAGGACCGTGGCAGAGGCCCGCGCTGGCTGAAGCAGCGCTGGCAAGCGCTCACTGAGCGGTTGCGTTGGTCTTCAGTGACAGGCGATGGTTGTAAATGTTGCGGCACTGCTTGCAGGCAGGCAGGGAGGGAGGGAAGAACGGTGACACAGCAGGCAGGCAGCGAGGGAGGAGGGAGGGAGTCAGGGAGGCAGGCAAGCCGGCAGGCATAAAGAATTAGAGGTGGGGGGCCACTGCTGGAGGGAAACGGGCGGGCTGCACATGCACGCGCTGTCAACACGCGCGCACATCGGTCAGCCCCACCACCCACCTTCTGCGCCAGGTTGATCATCTCGTCCTTCTTCTTGCGGTCCACCTCCTGCAGGATGCGGGTGTGCGCTCGATGAGCAGACAGCTGCAGCAGCCGCTTGCATGCACCGCTGGCAGCACTCAGTCCGCCAGGTGGCGGCCCTTGTTCACCTTGAAGCAGTGCACCGCCATGCAGCGCACGTAGTTGGCGTAGCTCTCTACGGCCGAGATGTACCACCGCCCCGTCTCCTGGCGACCAGCTATCTCCAGGAGGACTGCACGCATGCGGGGCAGGCGCTGGGGTGGTTGATTTTAGATTTTGTCTTTGCACTCTGCATATCCGCAAAGGAAGTTGCGACACAGACCCCTGGTTAGACCGGGCCTGCACCTGCCGCTGCCGCCGCCGCCACTGCCGGCTTGCACCGCCCGCGCCGCACTGCCCGCGCCGCACCGCCCGCGCCGCTGCCTCAAACCACCGAGACGACAAGATACAGCGCTCCCATGGGCTCACTCTGCGACTTGACACCGTAGTTGTTGGCACGCCTGACCTTCTCCATGGCCGGGTCCACCGGCGCAGACGCGCAGCAACCCTGCGGGGAGGAGGGGGGACGCACCCGGCACGCGGTGAGCAGGACTTGGCGCTGGAGCGCTGCAGCGCAGTGTCCGGCACCCTGGCGGGGCGACCCTTAACGCTGGCGCTGCTGTCCTTCCATGCTAGAGACAGGATGAGCCGCTGGGGGTGGGGCTTCGTGCCATGATCGGGCGGTATTGGCGGCCGCCCTCACCATGATGCTTGGTCCCTGCCTTCTTCGGTTTGCACCAGCTACGTTTATGGGCGCCTTTAGTAGGAAAACGCAGGAGAAGGGGTCCCGTGTGGGCCGATGCCCTGACTTGCGCTCAACCCTGGCTTCAGCAGCAGAAGCCACAACCACTGCGCTTCCAGTTCCTTTCTGATATCAGGGAGGGGTGGGTGCACCGAGTAAGCCGGCAAATTGACGGCACCCCCCTGGATCCGCAGGATTCACTCCCGCCTGCGCAACCTTCGCAGCAACAAGGCAAATGCGCTCTCTCACATCATGGTTCACCGTATGCCTCCTGCATGCGTCCACCGTGAAGATGGTTCCTGACAGGCTAAGGTTTAGTGGGCGCGCCCAGGGCCATGCACGGCTCCCGCCGCCAGCCGCTGCCGCCATTTCGGATGTTGCAGTGGCTACTGTGCAGTGGGTAGCCGCCCACAGACCCTCCCAAATGCAACAGGCGCACAGAGCCGTTAATTGGACGCTCGGGGGAGGTTTTAGGGCATGCAGAGATCCTCTTGCCAAGCACAGACGGCCCAGCTCGGTGTCCTGCTGAGTTGCTTGCTTGTGTGGGCTTACAGTCTGGTTTCAGCAAGAACAAGCTTGCAGCACAGACTTTGTTGTTCGAGCAAGGAGGGATGAAGCAGTAGAACAACAGGCAGGACAGGCCAACTGACAGGTCACCGAGCGTTTAGTGTGTGAGCGGGCAGACAGTACTGCATGTCGTGGAGCAGGTGTGGTGCGGTAAGAGCAAAGGGGGTGGACATGAGAGTGGGGGTTCAGGGCGGGACTGCAGGCAGCGCAACGGTGGCGGTCAGCCAGCGCTGGTGACAGGCGGCAGCAAAGGCGGCGAGGCGGCACGGTTTCTGGCGGAGGAAGCGGTGGGGAGGATGGGGCTCAGCAAACAGGTCAGGAAAGTTGAGGCGCAGCAGTGCATGGTTGCAGGCATGAGACGAAGTCCACGGGGGGTGCCAAAGCTGCAGCAGCATACATGGCGAGCCAAAAAAGTGGCAGAAGGGCCAGTCCACTCTGGACAATAATCGGGTGGGGTTAACATTCGAAATGGAACAGAGTGTATCACCCAAAATGCAACGTGAATAGCAGTCGATGCAGGTAGCCCTGCTTCTGTTTTGCACACGTGTATTGGGTTGTCGGCGGCCTCAGCTGCCCAGCTATTCATACTCATCACCATCGCCGCCCCCACTGTCGCCCCCATCGTCATACTCATCACCACCCTCATCGTCGCCTCCGCTGTAGCCGCCTTCGTCGCTGCCGCCGCCATCATCCTCGCCTCCGCTATTGCCACCCTCGTCCTCACCTCCGCTGTCGCCTGGCTCGCTGCCGCCATCCTCATTCTCAGCACCACTGTAGCCGTCATCACCCTCGCTGCCTCCTTCCTCAACCTCACCACCGCTGTCATCGCCTGCCTCACTGCCGCCTGCCTCATCTCTGCATCACTGTAGCCGCCCTCGTCCTCACCTCCGCTGTCGCCGCCTGGCTCGCTGCCGCCGTCCTCATCCTCCCCACCGCGATCGCTGCCTGGCTCGCCGCCATCCTCATCCTCGCCTTCGCTGCCGCCTTCCTCCACATCCTCCCCCCTATCGTCTCCACCATCACTTTCCTCAGGGTGCTCATCCTGCATCAGCGAGCAGCAGGCAGGCAGCAGACATTTTTGATGAGGCGGTAGTCGCTGGCAGCCGCCTGGCCCAGATGGCTGCAGGAATAAGGCATGTGTGAGGTGCCGAGCGGCAACCAACAGCCGTACAACTAGGTGGCCCACATGCAGCCGGACGTAAGCAGCAGTGCAAACCTCTTCTGTGCCGCCTCCGTCATCCATGTCTGACTCCCCTTCATTGCTCTGCTTGTCCCACTCATCCCCTCCAACGCTGCTGCCCCCTTGCTGGCTGCTGGCGTTGCTGCTTCCATGGGCAGAGTCGTCAGCATCGCTGTCATCGCTGGGAGAGTCATCGCTGCCCCTGTCACGCTGGCTGGCGCTGCTGTGAGACTCATCGGCATCGGTGCCACTGTCGGGGTGGCTGGCGCCACTGGCAGAATCGTCAGCATCGCTGTTGCCGCTACGCTGGCTCCTGCTGCTAGAAGAACGATCGGCGCTGCTGCGGTTACTGTGGGAATCATCTGCATCACTGCTACTGCCCTTCCCCTCGCTGCGAGAATCATCGGCATCGCTGCCCTTGCTGCTTGCGTGTGCTTTGCTTCTGCCGCTGTGGTGCTTGCTGCCTCCATGTCTGCCACTTTCATGTGGCTTGCTTTTGCTGTGATGCTTGCTGTCGGCATGCCTGCTGGTTGCATGTCGCTTGCCGTCCACATGCCTGCCGAGTGCATGCGCCTTGCTTCTGCCGCTGCTGGCGGGCTTGCTGTCCACATGTGTGCTGGTTGCATGTGGCTTGCTTCTGCTTCTGCTGCCAGGCTTGCTGCTGGCATGCTTGCTGCCACTGCCGTGTGCTCGGCTACCAGTCTGCTCAGCTCCTGCAACGGGCCTGCTGCTTCTGCTGCGTGGCCGGCTGTCAGCCTCCTCGACACCTGCAGCAGGCCTCCTGCTGTTGCTGCCACTACCGGCTCCGCTGCCGCGCGGTTTAGTGCCAGCCTGCTCAGCACCTGTAGCTGGGGTATTGCTGCCACTGCTCCTGCCCCTGGTGGCATCTGGTGCTGCAGCCACAGGAACGTAGCTGCACTCAGTCGGTGGCACCGAGCCGGGCACACCATGCACCGCAGGAGCCAAGGGTGCCAGGCCTGGCACCCCCGGCTGCCCTGCCAGGCCGCCGGCTGCCTCGAGCTGCATTTGCGTGGGCTGCATGCCAGGCAAGCCGCCCCAGCTACCGCAAGCCATCTGGCTAGGGAGCATTGCCGCGGCCAGCTGCTGCTGCTGCTGCTGCTGCTGAATCCACGCCGGCATGGCCTGCTGCATGAAGATTGGCAGCGGCGGGGGGTTGGCCGGCTGTGCCACACATGCCTGCATCTGTGAGGGCATCCCGCCGGCAGCTGCAAATGCTGTTGCAGGCTGCTGCATGAACATCGGCACGCCTGGCATGCTGCCCGCAGCTGCATATGCTGGGGCAGGCTGGGCCTGCATCCAAGCCGGCATGCCAGGCATGGCGCCCGCAGCTGCGTGTGCTGGGGCAGGTTGGGCCGGCATCCAAGCCGGCATGCCAGGCATGGCGCCCACAGCTGCATGTGCTGGGGCAGGCTGGGCCTGCATCCAAGCCGGCATGCCAGGCATGGCGCCCGCAGTTCCGTGTGCTGGGGCAGGTTGCGGTTGCACCATCCATGTCGGCATGCCAGGCATGGCGCCCGCAGCCGCTGGCGATGTGGCAAGCTGCGGTTGCACCATCCAAGCCGGCATGCCAGGCATGGCGCCCGCAGCCGCTGGCGATGTGGCAAGCTGCGGTTGCACCATCCAAGCCGGCATGCCAGGCATGCTGCTGGCCCCGGCCGCCTCTCCAGGTGGCGGCGGTGCCTGCAGGGCAAGGTAGCGGCAGGGCGGGTCGGCAGAGGGCGGCGCATCGCCCGCGCGCTGCGGCAAGCGGGCACAGCGAACCCAACGCTGTTGCGCTTTTTGTGTCAGCTGCTGCAGTGCGGGCAGGGCAACGGGCGTTCTCTGAACTGCGCAAGCCCCCCTCATGCTTGCCATGGTTCCTGCTCCCTGCTGCCTTCCGGGCGCGCCAAGGGCTCTGCTATCTGACTGATGCAGTCGTATGGGGTGGAAATGCCTTGCCAACAGCGGGAAAGGGCATGCAAGGCCTGTGCATGGACGCCGCCAGAGCGCAAGCTAGTCGCATGAAACCCACAAACTTCTGAGTATGCATGGGATGGGGTTGGCACGTGATCAGTGAGGCGGGGATGCACCCAACCCTTGGCGGTTGTGCCCGCTGGATAGGGCCGACCCCGCCATACCGGCTGGCTGCCGCACTCCCGCTGCAAATGGGGCATACTTCGGCGCCGCGTTGCGTTGCAGAGCCCTAACCGACCAGAGCATGGTTATTACACATTTAGTTGTGTGCTCCACTGGATTCACATGGTGGGCAAATGGGGCCAGCCCACGCCTCAAACAGCCACCCCCTCCTGCGCGGCCTCGTCGCCCGCCGGCTCCTGCTCCTGCTGCTGCTGCTGCTGCTGCTGCTCCATGAGCTGCGTGAGGCTGGTGAAGATGCGCTTCTTCCTGGCGCTGCGCGGAGCCGTGAAGCTGTGGGCGGCAGGCGGGCAGGCAGGGTGGATAGGCAGGCCAGGTGGGCGAGGCGGGCGCGCGGCGCCATGCAGCCACCGAGCGACAGCACACGCGCGCGCTGCGCCGCACCTGCGCGGGTCCTTGCGGTCTGTGAGGGGCCAGCGGGGGCGCAGGTCCACCCACTCGCCCTCCCCCGGCTCGCCGCTGGCGGGCGGCGCCTCCGCCAGGCCAAGCTGCAGCCTGCGGGGGGGGGCGGGCGTGTATGGGGTGCAGGCACGCAGGTGGGCACAGAGCGTCACAAGGTGCGAGTGCGGCCAGGCAGGCTCGCAAGGCGGCGCCAGGCACGGCGGCACACATGCGGCTCCCGCGTGGCCCTCGGCGCCTCGCCCGCCGCACCTCTCCACCCCCGCCCACGCCACCATGACGCCGTTGTCGGTGCAAAGCCGCGGCGGCGGGCACACCAGGCGCAGGCCCGCGGCCTGCGCCACCGCCGCCAGCCGGCCCCGGATGTACCGGTTGGAGGCCACCCCTCCCGCCACCACCAGGTGACGCACCTGCAAGCGCGGGCGCAAGGAGTGAGCATCAGGCATCTCTGGCATGCAGGCCAACCCACACCAGTTGAGCAGCAGGCCCCCAGGCCAGGCAGGCGCCCCAGGCAGCCCACTGTGTGCGCCAGTGTCCCGCTCCCCTCCCCCCTCCCGTTTCCTGCCTCCTCCCCAGCCCAGAGGAGGGGCGGCCCCCCTGCCGCCCGCCCACCTGCGGGTGCGACTCCTGCGCCCACTGCACCCCGCGCCGGCACCGCTCCTCCAGGTGCTGCACAGCCACGCGCTGGAAGCTGGCCGCGATGTCGGCCCGCACCTGGCGGTTGCCCTCTGCGCCCAGGCGAGCAGCCGGGCAGGCGGGCAAGCGTTGGCAGGCGCAGCCAGGAGACGGCCGGCGTGGCGGTCGCAGCATGCTGGACGGAGCACAGCCACGCAGGAGTGCGCTGCATGGCGTGCGCTCCGTGCAGCCCCCCGCCCAGAGTGGCAGCCAGCCGGCACCGGCAGCGCCACCACCCCACCCGCCAATACGCGGCTCACCCGTGGCCTCTGGCGCCTGCTCCTCAATAGCCAGCCGCACTGCGGTCTTGAGGCCTGCAGGGGGCCACAGCGCCGGCGCCGGCAGCGTGCGGCTTGACGAGCTCGGCGGGCGGGACACCCCGCCACTCATCAGCCGGCCGCCTCCCGAGCTCGCGCTGCATCCCACCCCTTCCAGCCCCTGCTCAGCCAAGTCTGCCCCGCTTCTTACCCACCCACACACCCTCTGCCCCACCTGCATAGCTGAAGTCGCAGGTGGGGCGGCGCTGCATGGGCACAGACAGCGGCAGCGCGCGCGGGTCGCCGCCGGCGGCAAACGCCTCCAGCGCGGCGCCGCCCGAGGGCCGCAGGTCCAGCCCCAGCAGCCGCGCCACCTTGTCGTACGCCTCCCCTGCAGTACAGCGCGGTACAGTGCAGAGGCATGCATGGGGGTGTGGCGGCCGCCCGGGCGAGCGGGCAGGGGCAGGGCAGGCGGCACAGGGCTGCATGGGAGGATTCTGCGGTAGCCCGACCCCAGGCCCAGCCAGTCGGCCCAGCCAGTCGGCCAGCGAGCTAGCGGGCAGGGGAACAGGCCGCAGGCCGCAGAGCCAATGCAGCAGCTCTTGGGAGGGCTGTCCCCCCGCACCCAACCACACCCACACCCACCCAGGGCATCATCTAGGGTGGTCCCCAGCTGCGTGTACTGCCCAATCCCCTCCACCAGCAGCAGCAGGTTGTGGCCGCCCGAGATGAGCAGGCAGAGGAAGGGGAACTCAACAAGGTCCGGCGTGGCGGCAGGAGAGGCGGCGGAGGCGGCGGCGGTCTGGGCTGCCTGCCCCGGCCCCGCTGCTGCTGCCTCTCCAGGGCCTGATGCTGCGCCTGCTGAGCCTGCTGCGCCTGCTGCTTCTGCTGCTGGGGTGTCTGGGGCCGCGCTGCTGCTGCCGCTGGCGCCTGCCTGCTGCTGTGCCGCCTGCCGCGCCTCTGCCGCAAAGCGTGTGGCGCCCAGGCGCGCCACCAGCGCATGCGCCTCCATGTGGTGCACGGGGATGAGCGGCAGCTGGTGGGCAGCTGCCAGCTGGCGCGCCTTGAGCACCCCCACCTGCAGGGCGGTGCCGGCCGCGGTGTTGGCAGGCGGGCAGCCGGTGGCCAGCCCCTCCGCAGGCACACCCGCTGACCTTGCATCCCGGCAGGGACGACGGCCATGCCCAGCCCTCCCATGCGGCCAAACTCACCCGCAGGCACAGGCTGAGGCCTGGGCCGATGGTCACCGCCACTGCGTCCAGCTGGTCTGGGGTCACACCCGCGGACGCCAGCGCTGCCTCTACGCAGCCGTCGATGGCCGCCTCGTGCGCCTCCTGCGCCAGCTTGGGCACCACGCCGCCCCAGGCGGCGTGGATGTCGGCCTGCGTGGCCAGGCTCTCGCCCAGCACACGCCCGCTGGTGCTCACCACCGCCACGCCCGTGTCATCGCAGCTGCTTTCGATGCCCAGCACGAGGCCGGAGGGTTGGCGAGGCGGCGGCGGCGGCACCCCGGAGGCGGCGGCGGCAGCGGCGGCGGTGCTGCCGCCTCGTATGCCGGCCGTCGTCCGTGTGCTGGCTCGAGAGGCTGCCAGGGCACGGAGCGTCCACAGCATGCCTGGCCTCACCACCACACGCAGCTGCATGCTGCAAAACGGACTACCAGGCCCCTGTGTGGTGCCGGTGGGTGTGTAAACTGCCGTTACACGAATTCGAGTCGACGACAGGGCTCGAACTGCATTGGCACTGCTCCAGTCGTCTGATCGGCTGCCACGAGTCGTGCTATGCTGCGGCGGCGCAAACGGTTCGGGCCCTGCCGTCCCGGCGAGCGCGTACCCTTCCCACTCCTTAGAACAAGTCAGAGATGAATGGCGCAGGCGGGCAGGGCCCAGGGGCCGGACAGGCGCCCGGGGTTTCTGACACTGCGGCTGCTGTGAGGCTGCTGCTGCAACAGACGCAGGAGAAGCTGCAGTTATCCGCGCCGCGAAGGGCGCTCCCTGCTGTCGACTTCTTCAAAGCCTCCCTGATTCGGTGAGTGGCTGCCGAAGGCCAACAGAAATGCACGACATTGTGGCAGGGAGGTTTACTGGCCATGAGAGGGCGGGTGGGTCAACCAGCCGCCCCCCGGCATGGCGATGGTGGGGTACCCCAGCGCAGCCGCCGGACCGCCAGTGCCTGCCGCCTCTCCTTAGCACCACGCTCCTTCGTCGTGACCTGGCTGCAGGGAGTATGGCATCCAGGAGACAGCCGAGAACTCCGCCAAGATCAACACCGTGTCAGCTCAGGTGCAGATGCTGGTGCCTGTGGGGGGGAGCCACCCTCTCGGCTGTTTTGCTTCGTCGGCACCCCCAGCGGTCCTGCACCCATCCGCCGCATCCAGCTGCCAGCTGCTGAGTGGCCTTCCCTTCCCCTCCGCCCACTGGCAAGCAGGCGTGGGCAGCGCTCAAGCCGGAGGAGCGGGCGCCGTTTGAGGTGCATGCGGTGCAGGACGCACGGCGGTATGCTGAAGAGCTGCGCATCTTTGAGGACATGCAGGCACGCTGCTGTATGCTGCGGCTGTGGCTGCGAGTTGCAGTTGTGTTTTGTTGCCATGAAAGAGAACAGCCTGCCTCTGGAGCTGAGCTGGCACGAAAGGCGACTTTGCTGCGCCGACCGAACCCAAGTTTGACCAGCGCTCGCCAATGCAAGTGGCAACGGCAAGCAGCGTGGGTCCTCAGCAGCGCTGCTATGCACGTGTGCTGTGTGCAGGTGCAGTATGAGCGGCTCAAGGCTCTGGCCAGGGCGCAGGGCGTGGTGCCACCCAGCGAAGAGGCTGCTGGCACGGGCCAGCAGGCTGCGGCGGCGCAGCAGCAGCAGGCGCAGCAGCAGCAGCAGCAGTATGCCCAGCAGCAGCAGCAGCAGCTGCAACAGCAGCAGCAACAACAGCAGCAGTCGTATGCGCAGCAGCAGCAGCAGCAGCAGCAGCAGCAGCAGCAGCACTCCCAGCAGCAGGAGTATGCCGAGCAGCAGGTGCAGCAGACGCAGCAGCAGCTGGCGGCGGCGCAGGCGGCGGCGGCGCAGGCGGCAGCCGCGGTGCAGCAGCTGCAGCGCCAGGTGGCCGACCTCCAGCCTCAGTATGTACAGCAGCTGGCGCACGCGGAGGCCACAGCCGTGCAGCTTCCTGCGCCGCTGCAGCAGGCGTATGTGGAGCGGCAGCGCCAGCTGCTGATCCAGCAGTACCAGCAGCAGCACAGCTACCTGCAGGCCCAGCTGCAGCATGGCACCGCGGCGGCCGCTGCATCGCGCCAGGCGGTGCAGCAGCAGGAGTGGCGGCTGGCGCAGCAGCAGCAGCACCAAGCGCAGTGGAAGCAATACCACCAGCAGCAGGCGAGCTGGCAGCAGCAGCAGCAGCAGCAGCAGCAGCACCGGGGTCAGGCGCGCCCCCAGCAGCAGGTGCAGGCGGCAGATGGCCCAGGCGATGCCGAGCTGCTGTCGCGCGTAGCTGCAGACGTCCCCAAGACCGTGCGCGCCTGCCCTATCCTGCCCACGGCAACACTGCGCTGCTCCGTCTGCCAAGGATGCCCCTGCGTGCCAGCCCACCTGCCGCTGGGCTGGCTAAGCCATCCGAAGCTGATTCGTGCTTCACGCCACGCCTGTGCTGTGCCCCCACACCTGCCCCGCAGATCGAGGTGTCGTGCCAGGGCGTGAGCGGCACAATGTTTGTGCTGTCGCAGCAAGTGGTGTGCCACTGCACCAAGTGCCAGAGGCTGCAGCCCGAGCACCGCGTCATGAGCTGCCCGCAGGTGGGCAGGCGGGAGGCTAGGGGCGCCAGGCTCCGGTGGGCATGTGGGCGCAGCTGGGCTGTTCTGCCTCCGTGGTCCTGGTAGCCGGGGCCAGCTAATGCATTGGGAGGGGAAAGGCGTGGGGCAGGCAGATGCCTCGGTAGCGCCTGCACCAACGCTGCCCATGCATCCCCACCTTGTTTTCGTGCGCTGCTGCCTTGCCAATCGCAGTTTGAGATCCACACAGGGGCCGCCAATGCAAAGGTGGGTGGGTACGGGAGGCGGAAGGGGGCTGTCCCGCCTGGCGCCACCTGGCACCACCCTGGTGCTCCACCGCCGCCATCACATGTTTTATTGTGCCGTCAAGCGCTTCCTTTCTGGTCTCTTCCTCTGGCTTGTTCAGAAGTGGAAGACCTCCCTCAAGGTCCGGCCTGGCGGCGCCCCGGGCGTGTCGGCGTCGGGCAACGGCATGCAAGTGGGGCGCTGGCTGGAGATCAATGGCGTCAACTTCAGCCGCCCGGTGCAGGCCCTGCCCAGGTGGGCACGTATGCAGGGCTCGAGGATATGGGAGGCTGCGCTGGGATGGTTGTTGGGCAGGCGCTGCGCTTGGTGTGTCCTGGCCAGGAACAGAGGGTGTCCGGCGCAGCTTAGCTGTGCTGCACCAGCCCATCGTCACACAACGCCTCCCGCCGGCTGTCAGCTTCGGCGGAGCTGCCTCCCGCCCCTCTGCCCGTTGCAGCGCTGCTGGCAACGCGCGGCCTCCCGTGGCCGTGGCGAAGCAGCCGCCAGCCGAGAAGGTGTATGCCTCAGAGCGGTTGCAGCAGAAGAAGCAGGTGGAGTGGCTGCAGGGAGCGCTTTCTGTGTTGTGCCTAGCAAGACGGCGACGCGCTGGGAAGCTGCTGCAGGCGGCTGGACTCGAGGCGGCGCCTGATTGCCCCTGTCGGCTGCAGGAGCGGCTGCGGGAGCAGGAGCGGCAGCAGCAGCAGGCGGCGGAGCTGGCTGAGCAGGAGCGCCAGGCGCAGCGTGCCTCCACGGCCGCCGCCGCGGGCCGTGCGCCGGTGGGCGGGGAGCCACTTCGCGGCGACGATAGCATCGCCGCTCGCGTGCTGAGGAGCCTGCCTGCGGAGGGAGTCAGCATGCAGCAGCTGGGCAGGCGGCTGCCAGGTGAGGGACGGCGTGCTGAGCTGGCACGCGGCGGGAGCCGGGAAACGCGAGCTCAGCACGTGTCTAGACTCAGGATCATGCCCCTCAGAACATCTGCCCGCTGCCTGGCTGCAGGGCGGCCTCCCAAGGGTGGCTTGTACCGCCCCGAGCGAGTGGCGGCGGCGCTGGGATACCAGCGGGTCGCCAGCGAGGCTGCCGGCGGCGGCGGCGGCGGCGCGGGCGCGCCCAAGCCTTGGATGGAGGTCGTGGAGGGTGCGCCGCCTGCTGGGCTGCCCAGCTGCTGCGACCTGCAGCCACACCCCCAGCGTTGGGGCTTCCCGCCGATAGTGCACGGGCCAAGCGATGGGGGCCAACTGCACGGCGTGCCTGGGGCAGGGTCGGTTAACCCTACCGCCCACATGTCCGACCATCCACCCTGCCCCTGCCTCCCCACGCCGCACCACCCCCCCTGCCCCGCCCGCAGGCAGCTACCAGCCCATCGCCGTGCGCTACTCTGGCGAGCGGTGCTGCGTGTGCGACACCGAGGCAGACTACGACTTCGACCAGCTGGTGGGCTGCGACCTGTGCGGCATCACCGTGCACCAGGTGGGCGCCTGCTGGGTGTGCGGGTGGATGTGCGGGTGGGTGCGTTCTTTGTGAACGGGGGCGCATGGAAACTCAGTGGTGTGTGAGACAGAGAGAGAGCGTGCATGTGGTTGTGTGTGCTGGCGGGTTGGGGTTGGGGGTGAAGGATGCTCGAGTCGTCGGGATGCACATGCAGTGGAAGGCGGTTTCTTGCCGCCCGGCGCGCTGCCCTGTCCCCATGACTCACCCCAGTCCCGCACCGCGCTGTACCGCAGAGCTGCTACGGCATCATGGAGCTGCCGGGCCCAGACCAGATGTGGCTGTGCCGCGCCTGCGAGCTGCGGGAGGACGGCAAGCCGGCGCCGCAGGTGTGGGCTGGCGCCGGCCCGGCGGGGGCCTGCCCCGCCGCCACCTGCCAGCCTCGGCTCCAAGCCGCCCCGGCTGCCTGCCGCGTGTCGCCCCACGCGCTTGTGTGTGCTCTTCACGCGGGCCGGACCGACCTCTCTGGCCCACCTCCTCCCTTGCAGTGCTGCGTGTGCCCCGTGGTGGGCGGCGCGCTCAAGCCCACCAGCACCCGCGGCCTGTGGTGCCACTCGGCCTGCCTGCAGTGGATCCCAGAGGTGCGCCGTCGCGGCGCCCGCGCAGGCCGTCGCGTGTGCCCGCCCGCCTCCCGGCCACGCACGTCAACACCTTCAACCCTCTCCCTTCGTCACCGCACTCCCTCCCTGCCTGCCTGCCTCGCTCCCTCCCTCTGCCGCAGCTGAGCGTGTCTGATGTGCTGGCCCAGGAGCCGATTGAGGGGGTGCGCTCCATCCCCAAGGAGCGCTGGGACCTGCTGTGCTGCGTGTGCAAGCAGCGCATGGGCGCCAAGATACAGTGCGAGGCGTGCTTCGCGGCCTACCACCCGCTCTGCGCCCGCGTGGCAGGTGCGCGCCCGGGGCTGCGGCGGGCTGGCTGGCTGCAACCTCGCAGGCGCTTTGCAGCCCCAGGCCCTTGTTGGCACCCTGCCCCGCACCTCCACCCTCCCTCGTGCCCACATGTGTCGTCTTTCCTCCCATCCCCCAGGCTTCCAAATGGAGATCCGGGACGGCCCCGACGGTCCCGACGGTCCTGTGCAGTACGTGTCGTACTGCGGCCGCCACTGCAAGCCGCAGCCCCAGCTGTCGGGCGCGCGGCTTGTGAGCGAGATGGAGGAGGCCGGGGAGCTTCCCGAGCAGCTGGCGCCCAGCACCCTAGACAATGCACAACCCTACCAGCTGCCCGCCAAGGTGCGGCTGCAGGGAGGCTGGCTGCACCCAGGCGGCGGCTCGGCGGCGGGTAGCAGGCAGCGCCAGCCAGCCAGCCGGGCGGCCATGGCAGCGCGGTCGGTACAGTGTTGTGTTCCTGGTGTGCGCTGGCGCTGGTAGTTGTCGGCGAGAGCGAGGCGTCGCATGTGGGCGCCTCCTCTGCAGCCTCCGCAGGTGCTCTTTTCTCAGCTGCGTTCCCGCTGGTTGTTTGCAGGCCCCGCTGCCGGTGTGCCCCGCGGGCGCGGCGCGGGCCATGCCCATTGAGCGATGGCAGCGCCAGCAGCACGGCACCGGCACCGGCGCCAGCAGCGTGGCAGCCTACTGGATCCCGGGCCCTCCCCAGGTCGCAGATCTGCCCCGCAAGCGCCAGAAGGCGGCGGGCAGACTGGGCGTCCCGCTGCCGGCGGCGCAGGCGCTGGGTCAGGACAGCGGGCTGGGTGGGGAGGGAGGGGAGGAGGAGGAGGCGGGGACGCCGGCAAGCACCGGTGGGGCCGCCAAGCCTTGGTCGCTCGGCGGCCGGCGAAGCGGCGGGCGGGGCGGGCGGGGCCGCGGCGGGCGCGGGCGCTGGGGAGGGCGCGGAACCGCCGGGGTTGGCGCCGCCGATGACTGGGAGGCTCTTCCCGAGCACGTGAGCCGGCGGGCCCTGCCTGCCTCACCTCACTTTCTTCTTCTTCGTTGGCTCCGGCCTGTCTGGCTCCTGTGACCTGCCTGCCGCCCTGCCTGCCTGCCTGCCAGGGAAGCATCGCTTTTGGCCTTTTTGTCCCCCATTTACCTCACCCTACCGCTATTACATGTGCAGGTGGAGATGCTGCCGCTGCCAGAGGGCGTGCCTGAGGAGGTGCCTGTGGTGTGCAACGGGCACAAGGCGCGCCTCATCCTGCGCACCCAGGCAAGTCCCAATCTGTCTGCTGCTGGGCCAGCTGAGACGCTGCCATGCCAGCACCTCCTCCACACACGCGCCTGCTGGGCGCGGCATCCAAGCCGGTCGCCCCATCCCTGCCTCCCTGCTGCGTGCAGCGTGTGGTGTATGGCGGCCACGAGATGCCGGCGAGCAGGTGGGCAGGCGGGGAGGGCAGCAGGCACATGCTCCGGCTGTGTAGCCACAGCACTTGTCCGCTGTATTTCCATATCCATATTCCACCCTCTCACTGGCTGGCATTCCGTCCCGCTTTCACTGCAGGTTTGAGACACTGGCAGGTGGGCAAGCAACACAGCGCCGCACGCAGATGCGGCTGCCTCGCCGGCGCCTGCTACCGCCGCCCCGCGCTTGGGGCCGAGGCCGAGCGTTTGCGTGTCCTGCTGCCGCGCGCAGGGAAGGACTCGGCCAAGAGGTGGAAGACCAGCCTCTACTATCTGGACCGCCAGGGCCAGCAGGGCCAGGTGTGTGCTCCGCCTGGGCACCCCCTGCAGAGCCATGTGGGCACCCGGCCTGGTCACCTTGTGTGGCCGGCTGCTGCCCCGTGCATCCCTTCCCCTGGCCCCGAGCTCATGCCTGGGCCCGCCCGCCTGTCCCCCTGCCCCCTGCCGCCGCCTGTGGCTGCCGCCGTGCCTGCAGATGATGCAGGACTGGCTGGTGGACCGGGAGCTGGACCGGAAGGCTCTGGAGGGGCTGGCGCGCAATGCGGCACAGCTGAAGGCCTGGGAGGACTACACCCGCCACCAAGGTCGGTGGATGGGCGTGGTGGGCTGGGGAGCTGGGCAGCTTGGGACGGGGTGGGGTGGGGTGGGGGCACCGCGCCCGCTGGGCAGCGCCTGGTGGGACACGCCGCCTGTGTTGGGGATAGCAGGGCAGGGGCGGCGCAGGTTGGGGGAGCTGCAGCTGGCCGTGCCTCGCCCTGCCGCGGTGCAAAGGCTCAGCCGTGTTCTCCCGCGCGCTCCCCTGCCCTGCCCTGCCCCGCTCGCTGCAGTGGAAAGCGTGCTGCAGGGCCTGCTGGAGGCGGTGGAGGGTGGCGAGGGCGGCGCCGCCGCTCCCACCGCTGCGCAGTCGCCAGCCAGCGGGCGCAGCAGGGGCAGCGGAGCCGAGGAGGAGGATGCCGTCACCGGCACGGGCGACGAGCGGCGGCAGCAGGCCGGCGGCGGGGAGGGCGGCGACGAGGAGCGGAGCGGCAGCGGGGAGGAGGCGACGCGGCCGCGCCAGCCCGCCAACGGCAAGCTGCAGCAGCAGGTGGCTCAGAAGCTGAGGCTCCTGCAGGTGCTGGTGAAGGAAGAGGAGGCGCCCGCCAGCCCCATGCCCAACGGACACGCACCCGAGTGCCTGCCCGGCGCAGCAGCCAACGGCCACGCCTCAGAGCGCGGCGGCGGCAGCAGCAGCGGCGGGGCCAGCGACCGCGACACGCCCGCCGCCGAGGCGCCGCCCAGTAGCGGCCAGGGGCAGGGTGGGGAGGAGGAGGCTGAGTATGGGCGCTCAGTGTCTCCAGATGCCATGGGCGGGTCAGAGGGAGAGCGGCAGGGGAAGGAGCGGCAGGAGCCTCAGGGGCAGGAGCAGCCAGGACAGGAGGGACGGCAGCAGGAGCCGCAGCAGGAGCCGCAGCAGGGGGGCGAGGGCAGGGAGCCCCAGCACCAGTGGGAGCAGCAGCAGCAGCCCCAGGTGCCGCAGCCGCCGGCAGAGGGCGGCCCGCCGGCAGAGCAGGATGCCGGCAGAGCGGGGGGTGCTTCCGGCGGGCCTGCCAATGGCCTGCTGGGCCGCAAGCGGTCGTATGAAGAAGCCCTGGGCGGCGGCAGCGGCGGCCCCAGGCCCGGCGAGGCCGGCGCCGAGGCCGGCGCGGCAGCGGCTTCCTCGCAGCAACCTTCTGAGGGCGGCTCCCCACGCCCGGCCGATGCCTCTGCCAGCGAGGGCGTGGAGGGCGGCTGGCAGCGGGGCCCCAAGGATGCTGGGGAGCAGGAGCAGGGCCAGGCCTCCCAGGCCGCCGCCGGCGAGGCTGGCGCGGCTGCTGCCGGCGGCGCCGCTGATGGGGAGGGGCAGCCGATGGTCGTGGATGTGATCTGCGGCCGCATGCCGGCCCGGTTTGATGCGCGGTGCATGCTGGTGACGCTGCAGAGCGGGCAGATGGTGTCGCCCATAGGTGCGCCCCGCCTGCGCGGCTGCCTCCTCCGTCGCTGCCCCTGCCCCTCCCTTTTTGCCTGAGCCCCCGAGTTTTGGCCCTGCCCGTGCTGCTGCCCATCATTGTTCCCATACGTCGTGCTTCCTTCCCAGCCCGCCACGACGCCCAACTCCCTGCCGCCGCTGCGTGTCCCCACCCTGGTACCGCCGCTGCCCAGCCTCCCAGCCCCCTCCTCGCCTTGGTAATACTTCTGCCCATACTTTTGCCCAGGCCTCGCCCTGACCTGCCCTTCCCCGCAGAGTACGAGCGCATGTCTGGGCGCAGCGCCAGCAAGAAGTGGAAGTGGAGCATACGGGTGGATGCAGGGGGCGGGCAGCCGGGGATGACGCTTGAGGTGCGCCGCGCCTGTTTCCTTCCTTCCTTTCTTCCTTTCTTCTCCGGCTGGAGGGAAGGTTGGGGGAGGAGGCAGGGGGGGAGTGAGGGGCGCAAGGCGCAACGGGAAGGGGAGGGGGCTGCATAAGTGTGGTGCCAGCCTTGGGCTCGGCGCCAGCTCAGCTCGTGCCAGCTCAGATGATGGTACCGTCAGGGATGTTGGAGTCCTTGATCACCACCACCACGCCGTCGCGGATTACCCACCCCTGCTCCTCAGTCTTGAACGACTCCTGCGGGCAGCGCCAGCGGGGCGGCGCAGGGCGGGGGGCGCGGGTCAGCACGGCGCCGGGTGCAGAGAGCGGGTGCAGGGTGCAGGTGCAGGGTGCAGGTGCAGGGAAAAGGGGCCTGCCGCGTTCAGGGGAGGGATGGGGGCGGCAAAGGGGTGCGGGAGGGGAGGCGGAGATGACGTCCGCTGCTGCGGTGCTTGCCTGCCCACCTGCGTGCCGCCGCCGCCTCCCATTTTGCCCCTCCATGCAGGATTGGCTGATGGAACGTGGGCTGGAGGGGGCGGTGGCGCCTCGCTCCAGCAAAGGCACGCAGGAGGCGCTCCGGAGGCACGGGGAGGCGCGCCCCGCCGTGCCTGCTGGCTCCGACGGCGCTCCGCCACCACAGGCGTTGGAGGGCGCAGGGACGCAGCCGGCGCACCGCTCTGGCCATCCGCCCGAGCAGCAGGCGCGGGCCGGCAGCCACGGCGCGGAGCAGGAGTGCGGCGCAGGCGCAGGCGCAGGCGCAGGTGCCGGCAATGTGTCGGGTCCCCAGCAGGCAACAGCCGGCGCCGGCCTGGCGGCAGCCTCGGCGGCGCCTGGCGGCGCAGAGCTGGGCGCCGCGGCCATCCAGGCCAGGCTGGTCAAGCTGGAGCAGCGGCCGGCGTACAACCTGCGCGGCAGCGGCGGCGCGCCCGGCGGCGCGCCTCGCTTCCGCGACGGCAAGCGCGCCTTCCTGCGGGCGCTGCCGCAGCTGGCGACGGCGGGGCCCACGCCTCACGAGGTGTGCTGGCAGGAGGGCCCCCGAGGGACCAGGCCCCAGCAGGCCGCCCACCCGCTCTGGGCCGCGCCGTGCTGTGCCCCCTCCACTCCCCACCCTGCCTTCCCCCTCACCTCACCTCACCTCACCTCATGTCACCTCCCCTCCACTCCCCTCCACTCCCCTCCACTCCCCTCCACTCCCCTCCACTCGCCCAATGCAGCTGTGCGAGGTGCCGCTGTCCCGCTGCTGGACGCCCGAAGACTGGGCCGCCCACCGGCTGCGCCAGGCAGCACGCGCCGCGGCGCGCGCGGCAGACGGCACACGCCGCCCGGCGCGCGGCGCCGACCTGCCCTTCGTCGTGGCTGGCAGCGCCAACGCTTACGTCGACAGCCTGGCACCAAGGGTGCGCCGTCGGGGCAGCAAGCGCCGCTGCTTGCTGGCACGCGGGGGCTCCCCGGCGCTGCCTGCCTGCCTGCCTGCCTGCCTGCCTGCCTCACGGGGCTGCCCCACCCGCTCCCACCACACCACACCACCCATACCCACGCAACACACGCACCCGCACCCTCTGCCACCTGTCCGCCTGCCTGCTCGCAGGTGTCGCTGGGGCCTGGTGTGCACGACGAGCGGCCGCAGAGCGTGAAGGAAAAGCTGGAGGTGGGTGTGTGGTGGGTGGAGATAGCACTGGGTAGGGTGGGGGTGTGCCCGCTGTGGCTGGCCAGCGCGGCCTGGGCCTGGCTGCGGCACCAACACTCGGCGGCAGCAGCAGCCAGCGCCCCCCCCCTCGCCCCTGCACCACCGCCGCCGCCGCCGCCGCCGCCACCAGAGG